GACTCTTTGCGCGAAACAACTTTGGTTTAAAACGACAGTTAGCTAGAAACGACCGTAACAGGCTTTGCAAGAAGGTGACTGCTATGAATCGACTATGGCACAAATGAATATAGCTCGAATCTACTGTTGCTCGAAACGACTTGGCTGGAAACGACTGTTTGCTTAAAAACAACTACTGTATATGGACTTAGCTAGAAGACCATTGCTCAGAATGACTTAGAAAATGGCTCTTGGCTCAAAATGACTGTTAGCAGGAAGTGAGCTCTTGACGACTGTAAGCTCACATGAGCTTGAGACGAATGTGAGCTCACATGAGCTTGAAAACCCTCAGTTTGATATGACCATGAGCTTGAAACGACTGTACAGAATAGGATAGCATGTAAGCTGCTAGCAACAGTCATGTCAGAAATGAAGATGATTATTGAAATAAGCAAATGAGCAAAAAAAAAAAGCACAAGTATCTGTCCTGTCAAAACTGTTTCAGACAATGACTTTGGATGGACCTGCGCAACAGACCATCTGGTGAGTTAGCGTTTGCTGAGAGTGGGCAGTGGGCATCCTGGTGCCTGAGCCCCTACTGAAACCGGCTGCTGAGGTTGCTCGAGGTGTATGATTGGGGAAGCTGGCATCTCTGTGCCGGGGGCCCCTATAGAACTTGCTGCTGTAGTTTTTGGAAGTGTCCAGCAGGGGGCTGTTTGATGAGAGGCTAAAGATTCATCGGTTGAAATGTTCCTGATTGTTGAGGAGACTTGGACCGTGGAAGAGATGGAGTTAAAGCTGGACTCGCTCACTTCCTCGCTGGCTTTGGGGTTGTGGAAAGCGGGGTCTCAAGCGTGGAGACGGAGGACAAGTGTTCGGCTTCTGTTGCTGGGTCTGCCAACGTGAACGTTGAAAGTGTCATGAGTCCGTCCGAATAATTCAGACAATGACTATCAGGATATCACTATCGCTATCGGACGTGTGGGTATTTCTATTACAGTCTGGATGGTTTAAAAAATATACATTCTTAATTAGCATTTAGCAAAAAAATCTAATTAGGAGATAATGCTTCAATATTTTAAAATACATTGCATGTTAAACACAGGTGTGTTCTTTTCTTACGCGGTATTCAGACGCGAATATAATCCACGCAGCGCTCTCTTGTATAAACACAACTCGTCATTACTACAGCTGTATGAACCGAAGTAATTACAATTTGATGCAGATTTGCTTTTTCAGGTCTGTCAGCATGTAAGCAGAACAGCAACTTCTAAAATGTTTGTTTTCTGAATGGAGTTTGGATAAAATCAGGGCTATGCTATGCTAACTTGGTCACTGTAAAGTCACCAGGTAGTTCAACCTCCTCGCTATCTTTTCTCCCAGCAATGTCCAGTTTTGTCCGGTTTTTTATATAAATATGAAGTAGTGCCAAATGACGCTAACAACACTGGAACCGGATGTGCACGGAATCTAGCTGCTGAGAAGCTCGAGTGAAGATAAATCAACGTTGTAATCCTAAAAACCAAAGTAAAAAGCTAATTTAATAAAAGCAGTTTACTCCGAGCTCCTTCTGCAAGCAAACGCCGTAGTTGTCAGAGCGTAATCCAGCCCGACTACGTGTCTTTATTTGTCCAAATGCTAGAGAGCTGTTCCCAGCTACTCTCCCCCTAGTTTAGCAGCTCTCCGCCGGCCAGCAGATTTTCAATCGCCCGCTCTGCCTGGCCCTCTCCACACAACGCTCTGAAGCCGTCGGTGACGTACAGACAATCTCAATGTTGATAGGCTATCGCAACTCAGCGTCATGCGAATTTCTTGCTTGAATTGAAAATATTCAACTCGTGCGAATTTCTTCGCGTCGCCAGCACCGCCCCCTTCGCGCTGCCCAACAGGAAATCGAGGCTCTAAGCTCGCTTTTACGCTACGCTTTTGGTCTGAAAGCACCATTAGGCTACTTTTATCTGAGGAAGATCATTTGTGGTCTCTGATCATAACCATTCATGGTTAACAATGAGATTAACATTTTTTACTTGAATTTCCTCCACAGTGGATAAATAAAGGAATATCTCATTTCAAAATCGCTGTTTTTTATGTCCCTCCCATCCAGGCTGTGATTGGTGGATTCACGAAAAGTGACATTGACGAGCAACTTTATGCACACGGCTGCATTAAAGGCACCCGAGCTTCTCCCTCCTCTGGCTCCTCAGACAGAAATTAGCAGGGGGGATCAGGTGAGCGTCACATAGTGCCCAGACAACCTGATATGAAAAGAGCGAGAAAGTCCTGTGACGCCTAAGAGTGAAATGTAGAAGTGCCGGTAGAACCAGCCCACTTCAAGCACTGCTTTACAGAGATCATTTTTTAATTTTTATTACTGATTATTGTTTTTATTTATCAATGTGAGACATTTTAGTGTGTTTTGTGCTCAGCCATTTCTATTTTAGTCTGAATATTCAAGTCTTGATTTCATCTCACCTCTGCGTTTTACGAGCATTTAAGTCTTGTTAACTTCCTTAAATCGTCATTTTCAGACTACATGGAGTCCGTAATAATCTTCTCTTTATTATATCTGATAACAATATAATCTGCAAATAAAGAAATGTTTACCACTTAATTCTGCACTGTGTATTGTGGTTTCTTCATGTACTAACAGTGTCATAATAGGAAGTGAATATTCTTTACTGTGAATGTTCTGCCTCTACTAGTAGAACCACCTCCCTCCTCTGGGGGACCTCTAACCTTCCAGTGTCATGTTCAAGCAGGGAGCAGATAAATCAAGGAGCCGTTCTCATTTCTCACTTTGTACCTCCTCGAGTCCTCTCTGTGCCTCCTCACCTACCTGATAACATTGGTGACATACGCAAGCAAGGCAAGTTTTATTAAATAGACAGGACAAACATGGACGACAAGCACAAGGCAGACACGCTGGAAGGATAATGGTAACAAGTACGAGGCCTGAAGAAAACCTCATGTGTTTCTGATGTTTATCTGGTCATCATTAGAGGGTAAAACCTCCAGAGCTCTGCTGCTAATCTTAAACACATTCTCGCTAAAACACTTCCTCTTCTTCTTTTCAGGTTGTGAAACACATCATTGCGAAATACACACCGTGGGACTGGACAAAGTGTGAACTTGAGACTATTGAGAGTAAAGATCTTAATATAGTTTATTTGTTACTGTCATATCTCAGAGGAAACTGGCTGAACTGAAGACAGAAGAAAGACTCATAGACAGGCAATAAAAAGACCAAGGTCAGTTTCACTTGACACAGAACACCAGAAAATCAGTCTGAAGAAGGCAAACGAATCCAAACAGGCAGTAGGAGAAATGTCTAGAAAAAAGTCTAACAGGGTCAAACACTAGCAGGTCAGGCAGAGCCCTGGATAACTAGACAGAAGACACTAGTCCATCTGATAAGGAGCAAGAGAAGAGGGGCTGGCATAAGTACTGAGACTGATGGGGGAAATGAGCTGCAGGTGAGGAGATAGGTGGGAACAACCAGGTGAGGGGAGTTGGGTGATGATCAGGCAGGAGGAAGAACTGGAATCTGAAATGACAGGAGAATTTGTTTACTGATACAAAAACTGAGACAAAACTACATGAAGTTTATGAGCTGGGAGGATTTGTGACAGATTCCCCGTTAAATTAGTTCAATGACCGTAGAAACATATTCCTTTGCCATGTAATCAGTGACTTTGTCGTATGTGTTAGTAGACGGTGGATGTCAAGCTGCTGTGACCTCTTTACTAAAGTCTGCATCTCATTTTGCTGATCAATAATTTGGGGTCTCTGTCAGTCACTGTGGATGAGAAAAAACTACATTTAAAAAATGTAAAGGAGTTTTTGGACGTCAACAAGGAATTTAGAGAGACTGAAAACTAAAACAGACAAAAAGTCACTATGAGGAAGTGACCTAACCACTAACCACAGGAAGTAGCTGCAGCGTCTCTACTAAAGCACTAGTTTAGAAACTCAGACAGTTCTGAGCACGAGAACAAGAGACAGAAGAAGGAGAGACTCAGAGAATCATGATGGTTGAGTTCAAATGGATTTCTTTATTTCTTCCAGCGGTGCTTCAGTTTACAGGTAAGAATACATATATCACATATATAAATGGAAGGCACATTGTAAAAAATAACTTGATCAATATTATTAAAGATTCTTTATTAGCTACATTTGATTTAACTAAGAAAACCAAATCTGTTGTTTCTAATGTGGTGAGTTTAGTGAACTCTTGGAAACTAAGGATAAAGAAATAATCGTCACTAACTATGAACATAACAGACATTTTCTCATTTCACTTTATTTTTCATCATTTTCTCAACAGCAGCAGCTGAAAAACTTCCCCTCTCCTTCACTGTCAGAGTTGGAGATGAAGTCACTTTGCCTTGTGAAAATGTGACAGACGGTCAGCAAGAATGTGGATATATTAGATGGATCTTTGTTGGTTCAGGATACACAGCAGCAGTAGAGCTGGTTGAACTTGGGCAGATTGGTGAAAACGCCAAAGCTAAATCAGACAGACTGGGTGTTACAGAGAACTGTTCTCTGGTTATAAAGAAGGTCACGACGAGGATGATGGTTATTATCACTGTCAACAGTACAAATCAAGACAACAACAAGCTCCAGACTCTGAGGTTGATCTCTCTGTTATTACCAGTGAGTATTTCCATCATAATGTTTTCAGCTCAAACTGTCTTGTTAGAACAATATACTGAAACATTACAATAATTATGATCACAGTGATGAAGTTAACTTTACTCTTGTTGTCTTTCTCTCACAATATCTCCATCTTCACCAGTGACTGAACATCAGGACGCTGATAAGGTGACGTTAACCTGCTCTGTGTTGACACATGGATGGTGTAGACACACAGTGAAGTTTCTGTATGAGAGTAAAGATGTGGACAAAGATAACAAAGACATGAAGACATCACAGTCTGTCTGCTACGCCACTGTGTCTTTCCTGGATTCTCATTTTAGTTACAAATCAAAGTCTAACTTGAAGTGTGAAGTGACAGATGGTTACTCTGGAAACGTGCAGCTGTTCACCTTCAGCCCTCAGTCCTCAGGTGAGAAAACAGGTGAGAATATGCTGAGCTGTTCAAGATGACTTAAACCACCAAAACATTTGTTTATCTGGTCACTGTTTAAGATGACATGATTCTTTCTCATTTAGTGACAGCAGATGGTAAACATGAGGAATTTTCTAACCTATACCTATACGATTAAATGACTTATTAATGATTAAAATGGAAAGATGTATGAGGCTTGCAGTTGCTGAATAGACATGTGATAGGGAAATAACCCGAGAGGAAGAAGCCTTGAATGAACATTCCAGGAGAGGAACAACAAGAGAGGGAAAGCACCTTAACAATCTCACAGCTCTGACCTAAACTCTAGTAAATTATGGACAGACTAACATAAGAAGTTTAGGAGAGGAAAGGTTAAGGATAAAACACAATACATAATAATAATAGTAAAAGAACATGCATAAAAGATTAAATGTAAGAGGACACAATTTTCTGCCATAACAGGGATCAGGAGGCAGGACAGAGAAATGGGTGGGGGAGGGCTGCAAAATGGTGAGAGCGAGGAAGAGGAGATAGGACATGTGGGTATTTATGGAAATGCTGGCAATGACATGACTGATGTGTTGTCCCGCACCTGAAACTCTGCTAATTAGCTTCACTTCACTAGCAAAGACCATCCAATCAATATGATTAAATGATTTATTGATGATCGAAACCGAAAGATGTGCGAGCCTTGCTGAATAGATATTCGAAAGCGTTGTGGGGAAGATGCGATAGGGAAATCCGCCATAGCACCCAGGCACGACAGACCCCCAAAAAGCTTCTAGTAATTTGAGAGAACGTTGGATAATGTGACACCCTTGAGATCTGAACAAATGTGATGATGGGATGCTCGGGAGTACCAGCAGTGCATTTATGTATCAGGTGCTCGATGTAGTCTTGAGACGGCTCTTGACACTGAAGACCTCTAAGTAGTAAGGTTATCTGATAATAGTTAGAGGCTGGACACACCAGTTAGAAGTTTGGAAAAGAGGCTAGTGCAGCTGAGGTAAAGTGCGTTTTATGGTCATCATGAATTGGGCGTAGCTGATGAAACAAGATGTGGTGACAAAATCAAAACTTAGGAATGTTATGATGTAGTAGTTGTGATGGTGGCTGAAGCTCTTCAAGCTTACCTGTAAAGCGAGAGAGAGCTATGCTGTTGATGGTAAAGTTTCGGGGACCATTCTGCTGCCAATCATCTTTCCCTATAGAACCACCAAAAAAACCTGCAGAATGAGTGGCAGCAGTGTACAATTGGTATTGTGGGGTGACACAGTTGTTCGTGGCTTGCTGGGAGTGGACTGCTGGGAGTGCTGGCATCGCGGTTCCTGGAGCTCTTGCTAGAGCAAACTCCCGCAGTTACTAAACCATGCTAGGCAGCTAGAATTGTCAGCGTTTGGTGTGCCAATGGCGTCCTATGAGGAAGTACTGCCATGTCCTAATGACAGGCGTGTGATGACGTGTATTAGAAGTGAGAATGCTAACTGATGACTGGAAGTGAACAGAGGGAAAGCCCCTTCTCGTTTGAAAAGACTATTTGCGCCAAACGACTGTTCGCTCAACCTTTTGATGCACTCAGATTAGCAATGACTGACAGGAGTAAGCACCGGAGGGCTCTGGCATCCCGGTCGCTCAAATGACTATACCAAAGGGGTTAGCATGTATGCTGCTAGCATCAGTTATATCGGAACTGGAGAGTATTCTTTATTACAACATGAGGAAAGAACAACACAAAGTGTCCGTTCCTTCATATCTGTTCCGATGATTACTTCAGATGGTTCTGTGTAATGGACAGTGGGCAGCGGGTAGCAGGCATCCCGGAACTGGTTGCTGGGGTGCTGGCATCCCGGTGCCTAAGCACCTACTGAAGCCAGCTGCTGTAGTTGCTAGAAGTCAATCGAAACAACTTTAACGCAAAAAAACTTTGGTTCAAAACGTCTGCTCAAAATGAATGTTAGCTCGATGTTCGCTTGAAAACGACTGTTAGGTAGAACCAACTTTAACTTGAACTAACTTTTGATTAGAATGTCCATTAGCTCGAAACGACTATTCGCACAAAACGACTGTGAGCTCGAAATGACATGAACCCGATGTTAGCTCAAACGAACATTAGCCGGATGTTAGCTCAAAACGACTATTGGTCGGATGTTGGCACGAAACGACTTTGAGCCAGGTTTTAGCTCGAAATGACTGAGTTGTTTAGCTCGAAACAACTGTTAGCCGGATGTTAGCTCGAAATGACTGTGAGCTTTAAACGACTGGTGCCAAAAGCCCCTACTGAAGCCTGCTACTAAGGTTGTTGGTAGGGTTCAGTGGGGGGCACTAGCATCTCTGTGCCAAAATCCCCTACTGCAGCCAGCTGCTGTGTTTGCTAGAAGTGTATGGCTGAGGCGCTGGCATCCCGGTGCTCGGAGCGCCGGCTGAAGTCGGTTGCTGTAGTTGGTTGATGGCGGGCAGCCGGGGGCGCTGGCATCCCCGTGCTGAAGCCGGTTGCTGAAATCAGCTGCTCCGGTTCCTAGAGGGGTATAACTGGGGTGATGGCATCTTGGTCCCGGGAGCCCCTATGGGACTGGCTGCTGTAGTTGTTGGAAGTGTGCAGCGGGGGCGGTGGCATCCCAGCGCCTTGCCCCTGAGATCGGCTGCTGTGGTTGCTAGAGGTATACGACTGCTCTTTTTGTTGGAAGTTGGCAGTGAGGGACGCTTACATCTCGGTGCCGAAGCCCCCACTGATAGTTGTATCAACATATGTTTTTAGTCAACAACTGACAATCAAATAATCATATATAGAATTTATTTGGGTGCAGAATATGAGAGCGAAGAAGAGGAGATAGGACGCATGGTATTTATGGAAATGCTGGCAATGACGTGATTGATGTGTGGTCCTGCTCCTGAAACTCTGCTAATTAAGTTAACTCCAATAAGAATTGTGAATGTAATTTATAGACGAATACTGTAGCTTTGTTTATAATGTAGATGTATGTTGACTGTGGCAGTTTTGAACGTTTTGGTGATGTGGGCAAACTCTCTAAATGTTCTGTAATGTGTGGCGGGCTCGGAGAATGGGAAAATAAACAAAAAATAAAGTCATTAAATGTATAACTGCAGTGTTTAATAGTGTTGAAGTAGATTCTTTCCAAAAGATTTTTGATCAATGCAACAATAAAATCCAAAAGCTGAGGCTGATGAAAATTTCATTAGCTTATCAGGTGTTTGTTCATAAACTATTAGACAAATTCAAATTCTGACCTGATGATGGCGCTAGATGAAGATTCGCCCTCTGCTCCTCATGTGAGAATGAAGTAGAGATTGTTATATAGAATATCTCTATTAGTTAATTGGTTTGTGTTTTGTTTTAATTATTTTCCAACAAAATGTTTTCAGAATCGTTCTACTTGGTGAGGTTCATCGTTGTGTCTGTGGGTTTAGCAGCACTCATAATAATTGTTGTGGCAGTCAACATCTGGACAAGAACTAAAGGTGAGAACATTCACAGATGAAACTCAGAAACAGGAAGTTTTGATAAAGCTGGATTTTCACTGTGGAAACTAAAGTCGACTCTTTCTCTTTTCTTTTCAGGGACAAAAACACAGATGGATGAAAACACAGTGAGTTTATAATGTTTTTACAGTTGGTACTTTACACAGCAAACCAGTGTTTGTGACATCTGCTCTTCATTCTGAAGTGTAGATGTAGATATAGATAGAAGAAGACAAACAGAAACAAGACTCACTGAGTTGTACTGAAGTGGTCAAGAGGAACATTTTGGATTTGGGGTACCACATAAACACTCCCTGTCTGGTCAATCAGCTGGAGGAACATGTGACAGTTTGGTACTTTTATTTAACTAATTACTTAATTTCCTTCTGCATGTCCTTTGTTACCACAAAAAACAGTTGTAAGTGGCAAAAATATGTAACCAGCCAGTCCAGAACACAGCAGCTGGATTTCAACTTCATTAAACAGGAACACCATTGATCACAACATCATGTTAGACAGACTGAGGCACTGGGTGGGGATCTCTGGTCCTGCTTTAGAATGGTTTTCATCCTACCTGTCAAATAGTAGGGTCTGTGTCTCTGTGAATAACTATGTCTCTTCATTCTGTTCAGTGGTGTGCCTCAGGGGTCAATCCCGGGACCCATTTTATTTATATATGCTTCCCCCTGAACACCTTATTCAGAAACATGGTGTCTCTTTTCATGCTTATGCTGATAACTCACAGATGTACCTGCCTGTCAGATGCACAGACGCTTGAATGCTGAGTTCACTTACCGACTGCCTCTGTGAAGTCAAAAATTGGATGTCGAATAATTTCCTCCAGCTGAACTCAGACAAAACAGAGATCCTGGTCCTTGGGTCCCAGTAAATGGCAAAGAAAATACTGCTATCTGCTGGTTCCCTAATGGATCATATCAGGCCTGTTGAATCTTGGTGTATGGTTTGAAAGTAATTTAAGTTTTGAGCAGCACACCACAAAGCTTGTTCAATCATGTTTTTACCATCTTAGAAATCAAAAATACAATCAATGTTAACTTTTAAGGACACGGAGACCATTTTACACATCTTCATCTCATCTTGCCTTTTTTACTTGCTTAACCCAAAAATCTGTTGATCGACTCCAGACTGTCCAGAACTCAGCTGCCAGACTTTTAACCAGACAAAAGAAATATGATCACATCACCCCTGTTTTAGCTTCATTACACTGGCTCCCAGTATGTTTTAGAATAGCCTTAGATATTTAAAAGAATAATTTATAATGGTTTTATAAAGCACTTTGTAACATTGTTTTGAAAACTGCTCTATAAATAAAGATTATTATTATTATTATTATTTCTTACATAGGTGTGATGGGAAGTTTAAGTGTGAAGTTATGCTGGTGTGCCTCATGTGTAAATGGGCACAGCCCCTCTCTTAATGAGGAGAACCTACTATTCACAATGTTCATTTTTATGACCAGCCTGCTCATCCATAAAAAAAATCAATAATGATTATTTCAAGGTGAAATGTCATTGAGGAATATGGTTAGAACAAACAATGAAGGGCAGAAAGTTTGATCATCTTAAATAACTAATACAACTTATGAATATAAAGAAACATTGTAGAGTACTGCTCCTATGTGTAGGAGCCTCGTTTAAACTTCAAGTGAGATGCAGTGGTTGTCTGAAAGTTTACAGTATTTTCGTCAGCAGCACAAACATGGAGTATAAGTACAAGGCCGACCCACTGGAAGGATAATGGTAAGGCCTGAAGAAAATTTCATGTGTTTCTGATGTTTACCTGGTCATCATAAGAGGGTAAAACCCGCAGAGCTCTGCTGCTGTTGTTAACAACATTCTCACTGAAACACTTCCTCTCTGAACAAAAAGAACTGCAAAGATACAATGAGGAACCAGCAGATCTCAGAACTGCCAAATAGAGTTGCATTATTGCAAACATTTCTCTTAACTAACAATCTTCACTCCGTCAACTTCCTCCTGTTGTTCGTTTCAGGAGGTGAAACACATCTTTGTCACAAATACACTGTGGGACTGGACAAAGTGTGAACCCCGTTGGCTGCATCTAATATTGCTGATCAATAATTTGGGGTCTCTGTCAGTCACTGTGGATGAGAGAAAACTACATTTCAAAAATGTAAAAGTGAAAATTGTAACAGAGTTTTTGGCTGTTTAGACATCGACAAGAAATTCAGAGACTGAAATCTAAAACAGACTAAAAGTCACTATGAGGAAGTGACATCATCCTAACCACAGGAAGTAGCTCCTGCGTCTCTACTAAAACACTAGTTTAGAAACTCAGACAGTTCTGAGCACGAGAACAAGAGACAGAAGAAGGAGAGACTCAGAGAATCATGATGGTTGAGTTCAAATGGATTTCTTTATTTCTTCCAGCGGTGCTTCAGTTTACAGGTAAGAATACATATATCACATATATAAATGGAAGGCACATTGTAAAAAATAACTTGATCAATATTATTAAAGATTCTTTATTAGCTACATTTGATTTAACTAAGAAAACCAAATCTGTTGTTTCTAATGTGGTGAGTTTAGTGAACTCTTGGAAACTAAGGATAAAGAAATAATCGTCACTAACTATGAACATAACAGACATTTTCTCATTTCACTTTATTTTTCATCATTTTCTCAACAGCAGCAGCTGAAAAACTTCTCCTCTCCTTCACTGTCAGAGTTGGAGATGACGTCACTTTGCCTTGTGAAAATGTGATAGACGGTCAGCAAAAATGTGAAAATACTACATGGACCTTTTTGCGTTCGGAAATAAGGCTGGTTGAACTTGGTGAAAAGGCCAAAGCTACAGAGAACTGTTCTCTGGTTATAAAGAAGGTCACAATCAAGGATGTTGGTCCTTACATCTGTCAACAGTTCATATCAGGACAACAACAAGCTCCAGACTCTCAGGTTCTTCTGTCTGTTATTATCAGTGAGTATTTCCATCATAATGTTTTCAGCTCAAACTGTCTTGTTAGAACAATATACTGAAACATTACAATAATTATGATCACAGTGATGAAGTTAACTTTACTCTTGTTGTCTTTCTCTCACAATATCTCCATCTTCACCAGTGACTGAACATCAGGACGCTGATAAGGTGACGTTAACCTGCTCTGTGTCGACGTATGAACACTGTAGACACACAGTGATGTTGCTGTATGAGGGTAAAGATGTGGATGACGATAACCAAGGAATGAGGACAGGGCAGGCTGGATACTGCTACTCTACTCTGTCTTTCCTGGATTCTCATTATATTTACAAATCAAAGTCTAACTTGAAGTGTGAAGTGACAGATGGTTACTCTGGAAAAGTGCAGCTGTTCACCTTCAGCCCTCAGTCCTCAGGTGAGAAAACAGGTGAGAATATGCTGAGCTGTTTATTTGATGACTAAAACCACCAAAACATTTGTTATTTGATGACTTTTTAAGATGACATCATTCTTTCTCATTTAGTAACAGCAACTAACATTTTCATAGAAACATATGGAACTTGTTCATCTTTTAGAAAAAAAATTTCAACTGGGTTTGATTTTCTTATATTGTCTTAAAATGTTTTCCAAAATATTTAAAATATCATTATTGAGGCAAATAGGTCTACAGCCATGCTTGCCTCTGCATTGATACTTTGAGCTAAATGCTAATGTCTGCATGCTAACATGCTGATGTTTAGCAGGTATAATGTTTAATATTAAATTAACAATCTTATTATAGTGTGTTAGCTAATGAGCAGGTACTACAAAGTACAGCTGAGGCTGATGGGAAAGGTCTAATTCCCAAACGAAAATATTAGAGAAGTTTAATTTAGACCTGATGATGGCGCTAGATGGAAATTCACCCTTTGGTCCGCATGTGAGAAACAAGTGGAGAATATTATATAGAATATGTCATTTATTTACTGAAGATGGAAAAGTTATTTTCTTAACTTTGGTTTTGTTACTTCAACATCAAACTAAAACAACAGCAGGAAGAAATAAGTTTCATGAAGAAAATAAAATGTTTTTGTGGTCCCATGCAGATTACGTATGTAGTATGTTTTATACTGTAATCCACTATCCCTTAGAACCACTTGCAGATTGTATTTTCAAAAATATGTGGGCATCTTGAGATATACTGTTAGTGATAAATGTTTACTAATAGTTTATCTGTCCTTTAAACAAGAAAGGAACATTTTTGAAACGTGTATTTCTCTTCTCTTTTACTCACTGTTTTAAACAGATGTATTTTCACTTCTTTTCCAGACTTTGCAGTCAAACTGTTTTTAATGTTTTCAGAATCGTTCTGGAGGTTCATCATTGTGTCTGTGGGTTTAGCAGCACTCATAATAATTGTTGTGGCAGTCAACATCTGGACAAGAACTAAAGGTGAGAACATTCACAGATGAAATTCAGAAACAGGAAGTTTTGATAAAGCTGGATTTTCACTGTGGAAACTAAAGTCGACTCTTTCTCTTTTCTTTTCAGGGACAAAAACACAGATGGATGAAAACACAGTGAGTTTATAATGTTTTTACAGTTGGTACTTTACACAGCAAACCAGTGTTTGTGACATCTGTTCTTCATTCTGAAGTGTAGATATAGATAGAAGAAGACAAACATAAACAGGACTCATTGAGTTGTACTGAAGTGGTCAAGAGGAACATTTTGGATTTGGGGTACCACATAAACACTCCCTCTCTGCTCAGTCAGCTGGAGGAACTTGTCACAATGAAACTTTGGAGACCCTTCTGCCTCTGACAGACTCCACTGATCAACAACTTCCATATCAACATCAGCTCATCAGAGAAAAGACTCCACTGCAGTTAAATAACAGCACATTTACACGAGTAGTTGAAGCCTTTAGAGAACAAAAATCTCATTAGATCATTTTGGATTTTTGTTTTTATTATCAGTGTGAGAAATTGTGTGTTCTGTGATCAGCTGTTTCTATTTCAGGCTGACTTTGGACAACATTATTCATAAGGCCTTTCTCATTTCTCAGTTCCTCACCTCCTCACATCCCTCCCACCCAAGATGCAAGTGGAGGAGTTGAGGCAACAGGCATTTAACAAATGAGATGTTCTTGCCTCTGAGCCATTTTAAAATTGACGTCAATTAAATATGACATGCATCGTGTGTCCATTATTTTGAGCTGAACCAGCTGTTGGCACTAACACATAGGGTGTCTTTAAACTGAGGACATGACAGTAATGTCTCCAACTAAAGTATGTGCATATATTTTAGGATGTGTTGCATCCCTGGGAATAATCAATGTAGATCTAAAATAAACTGTTTTCAAAGTATGGCTTTCCAAAAAAAAGTGGGAGAGGATAAGTTGAGGCACATGGGGGTCGGTGACAATAATGTCATATCATTGTGAATGATGGCAGTGGTGATGGCGCATAGATAAGATTGGTGTGGGAGACCTGGGTTAAATTCCCACCGAGAGACCTCCACCATTGCAAGACACTT